TCTAAATACTCAAACAAGAAAAAGAAAAGAAAAACCATTCAAACATCATACCTAAATTTACAGAGATTCCCCATATGGTGACCGTTCCCCAAATCTAACCAACAAAAAGTTTTACCATATAGAAATTAACCCATCAGAAAATATTCATAGCCAAAAGAAAGTGAATATTGAGGAGGTGGTAAACCTTAGAAGGGATAAATTGTCTAGATAGTTGTCTTAATCCTCTGAATTCAATCCCCATATCCTCCTTTGATGATCTTTTCTGGGAGCCAGGAAAGTGACTGAGAATGGTTATCCTTCTTTCCCTGTCACTAACTAATGGTGGCACTTTGAACAATCAACTTAAGCTTTCTTGGCCCCAGGCTATCAAATTTGAATCAAAAACTTGGAAAAGAGAAGTTCTTAGAAGAGGGACATGTAAGAACAATGGTAAAGCACCTCTCACTCAAATATTTCAGTGAATTTGGAGGAAACTTTGAGCTCTAAAGGTCTATAATATGCAAAGTTCAAAATATTTCTATATCATAAGACATTTGGTGTGCTGTATGGAGCAAAACATACTTTACCTATTATTAATGTTTAGGAAAAATATGAGGCTGATGATGTTTTCATATCCAATATTTATAAGTTCAGAGTTGAGGAAAACAAGTTTTATATCAAATAATTTTTTCTCTAAACTGTGCTATATCCAGTGCATTTTCTCTGAAAAGACTAGTGTACATTCGTATAATAGCCTCACATCTTGATTTACAGCTGTGAAGACACTGAGGCAAGGTTGCTTGCCATGGGGAATTTCAGAAAGAAGTGCACCCATATTCTGAGTTGCCCTGACCACGTTACTGTTTCTGCATTTCTGTACCATTGCTTTCCTACCTGTTACCCATGTAACCTAGGCTGAGTTATTCCATGTCGCAGAGGTACATCTTCCTGAGCTGTGCGTTTCCTATGCAGGGTTGTTGAGAGGATGAACTAAGACAATGCATGCAAAGAGCTTACCGCATATTCCCTGATGCAGAGTACCTGCCCACCTCATTGTGGTTGTTTTGGAGATAGAGGTGAGCAAAGGGCGGCAGCATTATTAAATGCACCAGTGTCTTCCAGCCTCTTGATCATAGATACAGGGAAGAAATGGTAGTATAGATGGAACAGTCTAAAAAGGAAGGTGCTAAAAGGGAGCTACGTTCTTCTGTCTGGCAGACAGATGAGAAGGGCAAGGCAGACTTTATAGTCTGAAAAGTTATGTGCAGTTAAATGAGGTGGAAAAGATGGTGAACTGAGCTCTCCACAGCAGTACCTCTCTGATGATGTGGTGGTATGACTGCACACCATCTCTGCCTGCTTACTGAGGATGCCAAGGTCTCAACTACTGTATTGTGATTGTTTGTTATTTTGTCTTTTTTTTAAGAAATAGGTCAATTTTTCTATTATACTCTGAAATAATAATTAGAATGAAGATAAAATATTTGAGGCTATTATTTTTCATGTTTCTCCTTGGTCCAGCTCTCGTTGGTCACAGACACTCTCTTGAGAAATGCTTGCTTGTCCACCTCTCAGTGAAGGTGATATGACACTGACTCTAGCATGAGGTGTAAAAGGGGCTGAGAAATGAAAGCCCAGTTTCTGCACTGCTTAGACTTCTAAGAAGACTTCTTAGACTTTTCCATTTGCAAAATGGAGAAAATATCTTCTCTGCCTTCAAAGGCATGGGGAATTGCACCAGAAGGCACTATGAAAATCTTTAAGCATAAAAACAAATGAAAGCCATCATTATTAAGTAGAAATTGAAGGACATCATAAAATGGCATCCTGAGTGAGAGAGAAATCTCTAGGTTCTATTAGGCCACTCTTCACCTAGGCATGCTATCTGCACATTTTCTTCACATAATGTAGATAATAGCATCTCCCTTTCTTCACAGGGTAATTTGTTTTGGGGGCAAAAGTTTAAAAACTTTCAAGGCACAGTTTTAGACATTGAGACTAATAAAAAAAATTGCTAAACTTTTACCTCTTGCCTTTAATGAGCTTATAGTGTAATCAGTGAGATATGACATGAACATAATGAGTTACAAGTCAGTGTAGGCCAAGTTAAGGTCATAGGAGCAGCAAAGCCAAACAATGCTGAAGTTCAGAGGAGAGAGAGATTACGCTGTGTCTGCTGGGAACAGACACTATAGACAGCAGGCCATTTGAGGGCAAGAGTTACTTAAATGCATGGTTGTGATAGGTGGACCATAGGTTATCCTGTTGGGCCTGGGCACTGAGCAAGAGAAACCAAATAAAACAAAATAGGTAATTCTATTCCAACACAATGTCTGGCATACTGATGTGAAAAAAATCAAACTATAATACTCAAACAGTAATGCTCATTTTAGAAAACACAGAAGAAATGTCTTTACTTGGGATATTAGAAATGAGTGGCAGCAGAGGAAATTAGAACTTAGAGCTCCTGACTGCAATCCTGGATCTCATTATTTTACAAAAATAAAATGTTTCTATATGTAAAAATAAGAATAGAGCGTGATGAGTCGCCAAAGTTTACTTTTTACAAAATAATTTTTAAAAACTTTCTATAGGGGGCCAGCCCAGTGGCATAGTGGTTAAGTTGTCACACTCCACTTCAGCGGCCCGAGGTTCGCAGGTTCAGATCCCTGGCACAGACCTACACACCACTCATCAAGCCATGCTGTGATGGCATCCCATATACATAGTAGAGGAAGATTGATGCAGATGTTAGCTCAGGGACATCTTCCTCACAAAAAACACTTCCTGTAGAATAGACCATAGCATGTTTGATGAACAATAATGTTATATTCATTGAAAAAAAATGTTATATTCACAATGGTGTACATCTGAGTGAAAATGACTATGATAATTATTTGTTAAAATTACACAGGGCAAATTATAGCATTTTAGATTCTCGATTTCACTAATTCTTTGGTATGACAAAGGTAAGGAAGTACACATCTCACTTACTCAAGGCATAAATAAAACATAGAAAGAAGAGAAAAACAATCAGTGACTTGATGACAAAACAAATTTGCTTTAGAGTTTACCATACAGGAAAGAAAATTCTGTCTGGCCTGACAGAAATAAATTTCATTTAGTTAAAAATATGCTAGGAACTACATGCTCCTGGAGTGGATGAATGATTACAATCTGAAAAAATAAAGTACTTTGTTACAATGATATGTTGTATATCTGACGGCAGTTCAACATTTTAATAGCCTTTTTAAAAATACTCTTTACTGTATGTAATTGAGTTTCTTTCAAATTATACTGCTCATGTAAATTTTGTTTTAACTTGCACATGCTGGACATATTGTGATAGGAAATGATGAATCAAAACGAGTAGCTGTTCCCTTCATATTTTGTAGGAAGGATGGGGTCAGGCAACCCTTGAAGGGCTGCTTACTTGAGAAAGGGGCAGCGTAGTCCACGGTTGCACCAAGTTCGAGCCAATCTGCAGTGCCTGTGCAGAAAAAGAAACTATTATTTCACAAAATATCTTCTTTGAAGAGCAAATCACTTTACTTAGTTTTATTGCTTTAAGAATTTTTTTAAACCTTGATTCAATATAAGACATACTTTGTGTCAAGTCAAATGCCATTGGCTGTTTAAGGAGCCATGTAATCATTTCTTTCTTTCTTTTTTTTTTTAATTAAATGAATCCTTGTCAGAGAAACTCTCTTCAAAAGACAGCAGGAACATATATTTAATTTTGGAAACCTCTGATGCTAGTGGTTCTACATAGATTGTATACATTTTCCTTGCGTGACCTTTGTACTCAGAGCTGCACATGAGCTGTACTATCACTTTTGCATTTTTGAATCTTGTCACCCAGCTTGAATGAAGAAACACTCTCCAGGGACCCACCATTAACCTCTGGGTCTTCAGTCATTAGGTTTCTATAAGGAGATACTGTGTTAAATATATGGCTCTTCCACCAAAGAAAGGCAAATCAGTTGACAACACTAACAAAAAAACAGTAATGTGAGTCTACTCAATGGCCACTTTAGAACCCCCAAAGATTTAATCTGCAGTGACTTCTTGAGACCATATGGCTTTACCTCAATTTTTATTCTCACCACTGTGGACCTGAACATGAGTTAGCTGAAATATTCAAAAGATTGAATTTCCCTACCCTTACCCTGTTCAAATGCTTTTAACCTTTCTCCAATTAAAAGAGAAAATAAATGCTTTGAGCTTCATCACATTTTTATTTTCTTACTAATAAAGTACTAATTTAACGCATATTTGTAGCTAGAAACTTATTGGATAAAATATATGAAGAAAAAATATAAAACTACAATTGAATTCTCTCCCTTACATAGTCTTGACGTTCTTTCAAAAATTTCTATTTCTTGATAGAACTGACTTTTCTCAGATTTCAAGGATAAAAAACTTGAGAAAGATCTTCCTCTTAAAGAAAATGGCCAAATGTACCCAATCCAGAACATATTCTCCCCACCCTTGAGGAGCCTACTTCTTTCAGTGTTGGTTGTGTCTCCTGTGGTTTTACGCTTACACATTAGTAAGACAGGGGATGTGTTTCTAGCTACCAATATAGGAATGACACAGTGACTCTAGGCAATGATCCTCAAAGAATGACTTGAGGGAAATGTATTTGGATTTGTTCCTCTGAGTGTTCCCAACTATGCGATGGCATTGTTTGAAAACAGACAAAACAAACAAGACCAACTTCCTGGGACTGAAATACTTTGTATGTGTTGTTATTTGCAGTGCATGCCAAGACATTCATGAGCACCAGAGCCAAGCTGGCGAGCTAATTAAATATATATATGTATGTGTTTAAAACAGCCTAATAAGGAGCATTGGAAATCTTCAAGATGAGCGAATATCTTATAACTTCTTCCGCAGGTGCGAGGATAGCTACAAGCCATGGACTTTCTGTCCTGCTTCTTGTTTGTGGCTTTGTGAAGGGTGCTTTGCTTTAATCTAAAGTGCTGACTTTTTTCCAATATCACTTTCTCTTCTTAAAGCAAAGAGCAAATCGCCTGTAAAATCTACGGAGCGGACAGCAAAGTTGACCCTAAACTCCAAGCACCACTCTGCACCCACTGTACTCTAATTACCTACACAAGGAGCGCCTGCTTCCGGAAGCATAAACGAAGAGGCTATCACACGCTTTGCTCATAGTATTTTCTTTGGCAAATCACTGATCTTTTATTTCAAGAGAATTAATGTGAAGTAATAGGACATTTTCTAATAGCAAGATCTATTTTTTTCCTTTTCTTTTGGCTACTTAAAGCTCCATCTCACTGACTGCTCAGGGTTTGGCCTGAACATCATCAGTATAGTAAATATTTACCATGGTGACCACTCATTTCCTCCTAAAGGACCCATTATCTGCAGGAAGCAGAGATCGAAAGGCTACAGAAGATCAACTAGCATTAAACAAAATCCTCGTTTTGGAGCAAGAACAAAACTATCAACACTGAGAGTCAACAAGGAAAACATTATTTTAAATAAAAAATAGAAGAATTTTTAAATTTTCCCTTTTTTTCTTGAATTTTTCTCCTTTTTCTTGATTATAGTTCTTGTTCAATGGTGGCAATGCTGGTAACGGCCAATCTCTGTCAATCCTGGGAGGTTTATATAAGTACATTTTGAATGTTCTATATTTCAATGTATTTTAATTCATTTTGCAACTCCTGTATATACAAACTTGACAAATTCTGTAAATTGCTTATAGTATGTGTGATATAACTTCAAAGTAGATAGACTATGACCCACATGCAAGCTGATTTTTATCACTATATATATAAACATATCCATATAAATATCTATCTGTTGGGCTACCAACCAACCTTTTTTTGATAAAGCATTTGTTTTTCACTTATAATTCCTATCTTGTGTGAATTTCGTAAGGCATTGTTTCACTTCCACAGGTTTGACAACTGCAGATGGTCTCTGTTGCCCTCTGCTTCCTTATGGAAAATGCATTTTAAAATTGTATCAGTCTCTGATGAATGAATTAATTTTGTTGTGTGTATGCTGTGTTGGAAATTGCTATGTTCCTTTATATATGGTGTTTACTGAGGTTGGAAGGTCTCTTGACTCTGAAGAATGTACGCTGTCTGGTTTTGACAGCTATCCCTATATTATTATCATCATTATTATTGTCAAAAAGCAATGTTGCTTCTAGAAAATTTACCTTGGAGGTGAATGTGGGGACGGTGGAGTAGTCACCATGACTCCCTACATTTGTGGAAGAACTGTTCTTGCTGTGGCTAAAATTCTGCTTCCTTTGACCTTTATGAATTTTTGTAGCTTTGTCATTCTGTTATTTGCTGCTAATTATATTTTAATGTCTCCTAATTAAAAATTAAAATTTGGTTGTTGGCTAAACATAATATGCAAAATATGACTGTAAATCCCTTACTAAAGAAGACAATGTGTTCAGTTTTCACTAGTTAAGTGAATTATAATTTTAAATATTCCATTCTTATTTTTGTCTTTATGATAATCCAGATTATCTTTATTTAGAACCTGCTTTCTACTCTGGCAAAGAATGATAGGCAGGACTATTAATGTGTTCCATTTACACTATGGAATAGATACGGGTTGAGATAGAAATGACTTAAGTTTTCCTTCCAGAGAGATTGTTCCATTTTCTTTCATAACAAAACCAGAAGGTCATCTCTGTAGGACCATCAGCTCCCATCCTAAGGTCCTAAACTAAAGGTTGAAGATAAGGAATACCTTTGCTTTTTGAAGGTAAATGCATTGATTTTCTGCAATTTTCCTGATATTCTTGACGTTATCTTCTGAGAAATAATGTTTCATGCTAAATCTTTTATTGACATTTTTCTTGTTAATTTGGTTTATTATTTCAGTCTAATGAGAAAAATAAAAGATTTGATTCTGCTATTTTATTAACCTAGAAATTTATTTTCTTTCAAAGTTGAATACTTAAAATACCTAAAACAATGGTAAGATAAATATCATTTATTAAGTCTCTCTGGGCCTTAAAGATCACATACCTTCTAGCATAAGTTAGTATACTGATTCAAATTCAGTCAAGCTGGAAAAATCTACCATGTAGTTTACTTTTACCCAAAGTTCAGCTCATGAGATTGGTGAATTCTAAAGCAAGACAGATTTGTAGCTGTATCAACGGTGTTTACTGTGCTTACTCATAATAAAGGACATGTGCTAGTTTGCGGAGAACTCTCACTGTACTCACTGTGCCAGTGTCCAAAATAATGAAGACTTCTTTGTCAGTGTACTCCCAAGAGTCTGACTCACTGGCCTCTTGGAGAAAGAACGTGGCACATATTTATTTCTCCAAACTCGAAAGACTAATGTGGAGCCTTAACTATTGGGGCAGAAGCTATAACAAATTAAGGAGACTGTTTAGTGGTTTTCACCACATATTGCATCCCTCTGAGACTGTTACTTTGTGTGTAACCATGATTACAGACACAAATAAAGATCAAAAAATAAGTTATATCTGACTTTCTTAACCTTGACTTCCAAGGTTATGTAATGTTTTTCATAAAAGGAAATCATAAAAAATTGAAATTGCTTACCTGAATTCAAGTCAGATTCTTGAGTTCTTTCTTAAAGACTTGTAAATTGCTTACAAATGAAACAATACAAAGGGAAACACTTAAGGATAAAATAAGATAACAAAAATCATCTAAAGACAGAGTACTTAATCTGAGTTAGTAAGTAAACTTGCTGGAGTTCATGAATCCATTGAAATAATTTGCATATTGTATTTTTTTTTTTTTTGAGGAAGATTAGCCCTTAGCTAACATCTGCCACCAATCCTCCTCTTTTTACAGAAGAAGACTGGCCCTGAGCTAACATCCATGCCCATCTTCCTCTATTTTATATGTGAGATGCCTGCCACAGCATGGCTTGCCAAGTGGTGCGTGGGTCCACACCCGAGATCTGAGTTGGTAAACCCTGGGCCAACTTAACTGCTGCACCACGGGGCCAGCCCCTGCATATTTTTGCATATGTGTATTTGTTTTATGGAGATGGTCCTTCACATTCATTGATTCTGAAAATGATTTGTTTATGATCTGTTGGCCTAAAAGAAGAATACTTAGATGCTTTTAAGCACGTAAGAGGACCTGATTATTATAATTTTGAAGTAGTTTACCTTAAAATTCTTGGGACATAATACTTATTTGGGGAAATAGGATATACATATTTGGCAAAGAAATCATATTAGTTTTAAGTCCAGAAAAATCTTTCCTTCAGATTTCTCATACATGGAATGGAATAACAGATATGGGATGATGTTTGTTGAATTTTTAGAACCAACACTAAGATCTTAAAATATAATTTTACAACATATACAGAAATACTATTCAAATAAGTGCTCCTGGTATTGATCCTATGTAAAAGAGAAAATATTAAATATAATTTAGTGGTAGTTCTATAAGAAAAAAACAATTGCAAAAGGTAAATATTTTTGGTATAAGTATATTAACTTATGCTAGAATGCATGTCTGAGTTACTACATAACCTCTGATGATTATATCTTGGAATTAAGACTATGAAGCTACAAAATATGTATGCACATAATTTCAAATAGTAAGCCTAAATAATCTTAATTTTAAAACTACTCATTATCTGGGGCCAGCTCAGTGGTGTAGTGGTTAAGTTTGGCAAGCTCTGCTTCAGCAGCCCGGGTTCAGATCCCAGACATGGACATATACCACTGGTCAAGCCATACTTTGGCAGTGACCATATACAAAATAAAGGAGGATTGGCAATAAATCTTAGCTCAGGGCCAATCCTCCTCACCAAAAAAAAAAAAGATTCAAAAACAAAAAAAACTCTGCTCATTAATGAAGGGGTCAGTCTATCATTCAGGAAGTGTTATAGATGTCACAGTTTCAGCGATGGAATAGACAAGGTCCTTTCCTTTATCTGGAGAGAGACAGGCAGTAATCATTCAAAAAGAAGAAAATATGATAGTGATAAATTCTAAGAAGAAAACCTACCAAGATGATATATAGAGGTGTGACTAGGAGTGGTCAGGGGAGTCTGCTCTGAAGAAGTGACATTTAAGCGAAAACTTGAATGACAAGAAGAGAGGATCTGGGAGAAGAGGCTTCCAAGGAGAGGGAGCAACTTCTGCAAAACTCCTAACGTGAAGTCTGTAACCGAAAGTTCAGTCTCTGAACCCGATGCCAATCTAAATAACGAGAACAAAGTCTTGAGTGGAAGAGGAAAGTTTTTTTACTACGCCAGGCACAGGGAGCAAAGCAAGGGCTCACGCCTCAAAAATTGCTAGCTTCCCGATGAGGAATGGGTAGGGACTTTTATTTGGGGTTTTGGGGAGGGGAGGGGGTGCATGTAGCTTGTGCAGTTTGACATTTTCCCACCAGCCTGCGTTTGGCCTTGAGAGGCTGCTTGCAGCACGGCGGTGGCGGTGGGCGTGGGGGGGTGGCGGCAGGGAGGGGTGGATGGTGAGATAGGAGGATCGCAGGTGGGCAGGCAGGTGGGTGCCCTTCAACGTCGTCTCGTCTTTCTGTTTGAGGTGGGTTGGAGCACCGGGAGTCCGGGAGTTGAGATCTGGGAAGCCTCCGCTCCTTGATATTGTTGAGACAGCAGCTTTCCTGGCAAACTTCAAGGACACATGATTAGCTAAACTTTAGTGTCCCTCCAACTCCAGGCCACCTGGGCTTTTAACAATTTGTAACTCCCATTTAGCTGTAAAGCTCAAGGAGTCAAAGTTTAAAGAAACATATGAGTGGAGCGAGAGAAGCAGGAAAGGGGGTGGTGGGTTTTAGTTTTAACCCCATACGCGCTGGGTTCAATGTGGGGGAACTGATATCAGGGCTGATGTTAAGAGCCTGTAACAAGTCCAAATCTAGGACTAGAAAGAGGGCAAGGGTGCAGTAAGAGACGGGGAGGGCGGCATGAAGTTAAGATGAGGCAAGAGAAAGCTGGAGAAGACCAAGCCAAGGACAGAGGAGTAGAACAATTTGTGATAATTCCTGGGTGAGATCTTCTTCTGAGATCAGGACACAGGCTCTCTCCAGAGCTGACTTCTTTTCCTGTATAGTTTAGCTTCTCAGCAAGATGCCTTTGGGAACGCCACTGAATCTTTCAAATTGTCAGGTTATACTTTTGTATGGAAGCTGCAGGAGTATATTAAACATGAGGGAATTTAACTCAACATTTTAATGCAAATTTACAATGGATAAATTTGAGGAGCAAAGTGAAAGATTGAAAGATAATCAGGACTGCTTTTAGTGTAGCACTGAATTAGTTGCAATAGTTACAAATATAATTCGAAATAAAAACATGAGTATATAAATGGAAAGGACAGCCAGATTGAAAGAAAAGAGACTCACTCCTAGACACTTGTTGGCAAAACATTGTAATTAAAAAGGTAGAGGGAGAGGGCAAAAAACCTCTACATGTAAACAGAAAAAAGAGAATGATCAAAAAATCAGGAAATAGGATCTCAGAATTCTCCACAATACCAATCCCAGAAGACAAAGAAGAAGATTGTGATAAAATAATTTTTACTTAGTTAAGTTATATTTTCATTGTTAAAGAAATAAAATCATTCTGAGGTAGGCAAAGCTCATAGAAAAATAGCACATATCTACTCTTGAAAACTGTGCTTGCCTGTGTGCCCCAACTGGGATAGGAATCAAATATGATGTTAAAACTAAATAGGCATAATATAAACTGTCTTCCGTATGAGCTTTGAAATGGTGCTAAATCTAAAGAATCATTGAATATTCTATTGTATTTCACTTTATATGAAAAGAAACAAAAGTTTCACAAAACAATATTTACCTTTCTTTTGTGCATGCAATGCACTCTAATATTTTGTATTTTGGTCTGTTTCTTTCATTTTTATTAACTGTTTACACAAAACATTAAATTGATTTACGACTCAAATTTGAAAAAGTTGCAGGTACATTTTATCCCCAAATTTAATACAAATGGCAAACATAATTAAATAACAGTATATAATATAAAACAATAATTTGAGTTCTAAACTCTCACCATGTTTTTAAAAACCAGGAAGTCAGAGATGGTCCAAAGAAGGAAAAAATGTATCCATTGTCCTCTGTTGAAGTGACATGACTCATGTTGGGGGCAGGAACGTAATAAGGCTCTTTTACATGTCTGTGGTCTTTGCATTGTCTTAGGTTTCTATCTTTTTTCTTTTCTGCCTTTTCATTCTCTTAACCCCCTTCCTATGTGTGAGATGTCCCCAACTTCTAGTTACAACTGATGAGGTTCTCCAGAAGAAATTTCTTTCCTCAAAGATTTGAGGAATACATTGGAGAGTAGCACACTCTCCCTGGATCTCCCCAGATAGCAGAGAAGTGCTGGCAGACACTGAAGTAGCGATATTTAATCACTAGATGAAAGGCATGAGCAGTGACTTTAATACAAAGTAACCCCAAAAGGGTAATCAGAGCAGTCTGACCCAGTTTTGAAGAGTTGTTTGATCATGAGATCTCCAGGAAGAAAATAGAAGGGCCATTTTCTTGAAGTCACACTTGATTTGTGTGATAACCTTATAAGAAAAATCCTCCATTTCTTGAAAACAAAGTTTTGAGCCACCACACTAAAGTCCCACCCATGATCCAAACCCATCACCAGAGTCAGATTCACTGAAGGGATCACTGGTCCCAACAATAATATTTCATGTGTGTCTTGGGAATTTTACTCTCAGCCTCCCCCAAAGGGAACTGAGACATTTGGTGAATAACTGTGCATTGAAAAAAGAGAACTATCCAGACCTTGCTGTGTTACCAGGCAATGACTCAGAACTAATACTATATCATGGGGTCCTTGAGGTGCACTAGTCCAAGACTTCGGGAGAGGGTGATAAATAGGATATTTGTCATAATCATTCTTGGCCCATGGAGACCACTCTTCCCACCTGCAATTATTCCCCCAGTTCCTCAAAACACCATTGAAGTGTATACTTTTAGCAGTGGAAGAAAATTTCTACATTGGTTCCCCGTCCAGTAGGGTAATGGCTCTAAGTTTTTGAGGGAGCTTGGAGTTTGTTCTGTTTACCAAAATAGTAAATAAAAAACAGTAACAGAAGTGACACTATTAAAGTCATAGATAAAGCATTTACCTCTTTGGTAGTACAAAAGACAGCTGAATCTTAAGTCTGGGTTATTATAATATAGCATAATTAGATGCTGAGTGTGATTGTAGCTGCTAGCTGAGAGCAAATTAGCAGAGCTCCTAGGACGTGTCATGCAGTTAATAATTTGGGAATTTTCTAGTTTATTGCAATTAGAGTAAATAAAAGGAATGTTTTTTGTTTTTTTTTTTACCTTCCAGGGATGAAAGTACCCCTTCACCATCTTGCCTCAAAGTTACATTGACTCCCAAGCGTGAGCCAAAATTTAGTCTTCCTCATCAGCCCCTTGGACATCCTGCTGATCTGTTACATTGATAGCATTATGCTGATAAGATCTGGAGATAAGGAAGAAATAG